TGCAGCAGCAACAAGAACGGGAGCGGCAGCAGAAATTGCAAGAGGAAAAGGAGCAGGGACGGAGGGAGGAGGAAGAGCAGCGACGGTTGCTGGAATTGCAGCAGCAACAAGAATGGGAGCGGCAACAGAAAGAGGAAGAAGAGCGAAAGATGCTGCTGTTGAAAGAGCAGCAGGAACAAGAAAGCGCACGGCAAGCGAAACTCCTGGAAGAGCAGCAGAGGCGAAAGCGTCAAGAAGAATTGGAGGCGGCCAGACAAGAACAAAAGCGTCTGGCAGCAATTGTGGCGGCAGAAGAGGAGGAGGAGGAGGAAGAATCCGACCGGTCGTCCTCGCACGATGCTCTGCTGGATATTATTCATCCCTCTGCCAACGTGACAGAAAGCCACCTGAAACGGATTGCCATGGAGGGCTCCGACTATTACGACGGCAACAACGATGACAACGAGGCAGTCGATCTGCTTMCGTTGATTGGCAACACGATCAATACCCCATTTCTCTCGGTTCCTTCCCCCATAGTCGACGAAAGCACCGCGGTGGCCGCCGCAAATGCCAACACCGACGCAAGCGGAGAAGAAAACACCTTTTCCTCTTCGCCTGCCACAGCGAAGGTGGGGCGGAAGCTTCAGATGGAACTGGACCGGGAGGCCCACCGCGCCAGCCTCGACGGAAAGGAAGCGAACCAGAACCAAGAGAGTCTAACCGAAAAACGCCAGCGGCTCAAAGAATTGCAGTCTACCAGTTTTGAACGCCACCGAAGGCTGGAGGAACTGGAGGAGGAGGAAGCAGCAGCAGCAACAGCAGCCCAGAGGAAGAACTCGGAGACGGGCCKGGGGAGCATGGGGACCGGGGACACAAACGAAATTGGGGACGGCGGCGAAACAAATGAGAAAACAGCGCTGCAACACAAAACCAACACACCATCGAATGCGGCCGCCGCTGCCGCCAACCAAGCGGCTGCGGTGGTGGCGGTCAACGATCACGACGAGGGGCCACTCGCAATCCCAGATGCCATCAGAGTTGGTGCGACAGACAAGCAAGAGGACGAGGAGGCCGAGAAGCTGCTGCTGTCGCTCATGGGACCGGTGGAGAGAGCGGTTGGAACCAGAAACCAGAAGCAGACCGAGCAAAACCGGGACTTCCAGGGCCGGGATCCCATGTCCCCTCCCCGGCCGAAAGAGATCATCACAAACAATGCGTTTTTCGAAGACGGTGGACCCCAGAGCGTTTCGCCGCTGGGTAGAGAGGGTGGCATCGCTATCTTTCACCAAAGGTTGGGCGCCGTGTCGCCCCTCGCTAGTCCAAGAATGCCGCGCAAGCCCCAGGGAAGGGACGAAAGCACGAAACGGCGACCACCCGGGCCTCTCGCCAACCGCGGCAGTGGAGAGAAAGCGCAGCAATCGGACCACCCGGCCTCTGCCAGGCGAAGACCGGTCACCCGAACGAATAGTGCCTTCAACCACGTGTCGAGGCCTACCTCGGCCAGCAATGCAGGCCGAATCGGGCTTGCCGCTCAGCAGAAGGCGCAACCCCAGCGGAGCAAAATCAATCCGGAAGAGGAACAGCGAAAGGCCCGGGAAAGGATCCGGAAGCGGATGGGCCTCCAACGCAAAAAGGCAGCGGCAGCTGCCGCCGCCAGCAACGGTTTGGCAGCTGCTTCCAAACACAACTCGTCGTCGGCCGAGAGGGCTAAGAAAACGAACGATCGACGGGAAAGGATGCTTCGACTGGAAGAAGAGCGCAAGGCGAAAATCAAAGCAAAACTCGAAGCCAAGGAAGAGGCGCGCTTGCGAACCCTCAAGAAACGGGAGGAAGAAAAGAAGCAACAGCAACAGCGACTGAGACACAGGAGAACACCATCCCAACTAGAACAAAGTCAAGAAGAAAAAACAAACGGCACAGAGATCAAGATCCAGCGTTCTGCCGGCAAGGCGGCTCTAACCATTCCCAGAAGTCCCAGGTTCGCCACCGATCGCCGCATGGGTGTTCCCACCAACAGCAAGCCGCTGTCGAAAGAAAAAGCTACGGAAGACCGGTCCCTGGCCTCCAGTTCAGATTATTTCGGAAAGGGCCTCCGATCGTCGGTTCCTATGCCATCCCGGTCTTCCGCTACCCCCGTACCGAGGCGGTTGACTATTCCCAAAGCCCCAAACTTTGCAACCTCTCGGAGACACGGAGACAAGACCAAATCTACCCCGTTTTCGTCTCCTAACAAGAAGAAGAGAGACATGACCGACGATATGTCTTGGTCCAGCACGTTGCGGGACGTGAGCGGAATATCCCCCGTATCCAAAACCGCCAGCAGCGTCAAGACGGGACACCTGACGATTCCAATAACGCCCCAATTCCAGCCAATCCGCAAGCGGCCCCTCCCAAAGAGCACGAGCGAAAAAGAGATGGAGGTAATGCAATACTACAAGGACCATCCCTTCAAGGCGAGGGAAATCAACATGCATGCGTCGTCCTCTTCGGCTGCGAAAAAGCTGGCATCTCCCCGCCGACCTCTTACGAAGCCCGAATCCTTTCATTTTCACTCGAAGCCTTCGAGTCATCGGCCGGTAAAAGAGGACGGAGAGAAAAAAGAGTTGTTCAAACCATTCAAAGCACTTCCGATGCCGAAGTTTTCTTCGCGAAAGGTGCCGTTGGGAGGCACGAAGACTCCGGGTTCGTCTCGCCCGCTCACAACCCCGGAACCCTTCAAGCTCCACAAATCGACGGCAATTCACAAGAGTGGCAACGAAAAGCATCCGGAGGCAGACAAGGAGGCGAAGTCCGGAACGTTCAAGGCGTTACCCATGCCTGATTTCAGTGCGTCAAAGGGTAGCAAAAAGCTCAAGTCCCCCCCATCCCGTCCGCTGACGACTCCGGAACCATTTCGGTTCCACAAGACGAGCAGCAAGCGCAGTAACGAAAAAGCCAAAGAAGAAAAACAGTCTGCTGGTTTCAAGGCACGATCCATGCCAAAATTTGCCGCTAGGAATGCGACTCCATCGACAGGAACTCATCCGAAGGCACCCGGAGCATTAACCAAGTCGGAAAAGAAACGAACCAAGAGCACTCGCAGCAAAACTATTCCAACAGGGGCCTCCGGTCTTCTGTTTCACAGATCCACATCTGCGACGAATCGCTTGAGCAGACCGAAGGTAGTCCAGGAAACGAAACAACCCCAAAGCAAGCCGTTCAAGGCGAAGGCGATGCCGAACTTTATTCCCGATGTGATTGTTACGAGAACACCGGTGGATGAAGAAAAGCGACAACCATCTCGTAGCCCCGAATTGTATGCAGACGAGAAATACAATTCGGCCTACCATCACTGTGACAACAGCACTATTTCTTCTTGCTTCAACAAGGCCAGTTCGGGACCCAAGAGCTTGACGGAAGAACCACCTGTCTTCGTTCGCGAAGAACATCCCACCAACGTCACGTCTACGGATTCCGTCAAAGAATCCGCGGAGCCAGCGTTGCCGCGCGAGGATCCGGTTGAGCCCGCCGTCCTCAACACAGTCCAGGCTATGGAACCTCCGAGCGAGCCCCCCGCCGTGGTTCGCCAGCGCGATCCAAATCCTTCTCCCGTGGCCTCACCCCAGCTGAACAAATCCACGCTGAGCATGGAAGACGCCAAGGCGCGATTGAGAGAACGCTTGTCGAAACGAAAAAGCAACGCGTCGAAACCACAACAACACAATGGAGGCGCCGCCGCGTCTTCTGCTTCCATGGCATTTTCTACGCTGCAGGTTCAATCCCGGCTTACGGTTCAGGCCGAGAAAAACGTAAAACTCGAGGAAAAGCTGCGGAAGATGACCCTCAAGAAAACGCAAGAACGGTCCTCCGGCAATGGCGCGAGCTACCTCGTGAACGACAATCCGACCCCGGTGAAATCCAACAACACGGCACCGAAATCTGCTCGGTTGCAGGGGACGGTGGCTGGCGATTCCGACGACAAGTGTACCATACCGGAGCAGCACGAGGTACAGCAGCCCGCCGGAGACGTCACAGACGACAACACGACCTCTTCCATCCTGCAGCTCGCCCAGGAAGTCCAGCGGGCCGCGGAAGACGAGCTATCCTTTTACGGATCGCTCGACACCCGGGACCGACTGGAACGGGAGCTCGGCTTGTAGGGCACGGGCGGGGTCATTCGGTTCGGTTGCCACGGGGAAAGGCAACCCGTAAGGAGACGATCCTCTCGTAATGTAGACGAAACAAACAGATCGCGTCGATCTATTGTGATTGGTTCGCATCCATCCATAGAGACCGCTCGCGTTGAGACTCATGCGGAGCGACATCATATCAGATCAGACTGCTACGATCGATTGAAAGCGTTTCGGTTTACAACACATCCGAACCTGCGCCGACCGATGTACCTTCCCCCGGACCTTCTGTGATTCGCTAGGGGTTTTACGCTAAAATTGGTTTGGATGTCAACAACGTAGCTCTTGACCGTAAAAATCCATTGTTTTCTATCCTTTTAAAAGTTACATAATGCACTAAAATAAAAAAGTCAAACAGGGGAATTCGTTTCGAGCAATGATGCATGAAATCTGTCATGTGATATTGTACGTTGCGTTGTTTGTTTGTTTGTTCGTGTGTATGTGACGTTGCAAGCGTACATCTTATCATGTTACAGTAACGAATACGGATACGGTTCTAATGCAACAATACCCAGACCCTTGCGGTATTCGATTAGTTCGCGAGTCCCGCAATTTTTCGCGTGGCTCGCACCCGGGCGGTGGGAACCTCCAGCGACACCTCGCAGCACTTGCTCAAGAGAACATCGACGGCCTTCTGGGCATTCTTTTGGAAAAGGGCCTGCATGGTGGCAATCTCCTTGTCGGTTTCGGCCTGGAGCTTTGCCGAGGCGTCCCCCTCCGATCCTCCCTTGCTTAGGACCATATTGTTGAATTCCTCCTGCTTCTCGGCCTTGTACGCGGCAACGATCTCGGCGCTGTCCGCCTTGGCCTGCTTCATGCGGTCTCCACGGCCTGCAGAGCGAAACAAAACATTCAAACAACAACAACAACGACAACAACGGGGCAGACGATGCGTGCGGGATGTGGTGTCGTCGAATCGTTCCGAGTGTGGGGTTTCGCGTTTGGAACCAACGAGGCAAGGGAAACGATACACCGGTGAGAAATTTTGGAAAGGAAACATCAATTCGATCCCTGCAAAATAAATTAGACTCGGAAGACCAAACACCAACACCGGGCTCGTGCATCTATCCGAACCACAACGCACAAGGTTCCGCCTAGCTCCTTTCTTCAAAGATCGATCCACACCGTAGCAATCGATCCGATCCGATCCAAATCGATTCGATTCGATCGCCTGTTCGTACTCACCCATGCGAGCCTCGGCGACAATTTGGGAGGCACGCGTTTCGGCGGCCATAAGCTCTTGGATTCCTGCTCCCGAAGACATGGTTCTATTATTCTATGGTTTGGTGCGTGTTGGTTTATTGGTTATTGGGCTGGTGTAGTGTTGTAGTGTTGCAGATCAGGCGAAAAGCGACGATGACGAGGAGGTGGAGGAGGAGTCTGAGTTAGTTTGTCGAGGGCGAAACAGACAGGATACGAGTAGCTCCGTACGTACCGTCCGGGCAGGCACGAGAAGAGTCTTCGTCTACGGACCGCTACCTAGAAAAGAGCAGAAAGTTTTTGTTGCCGTTAGTATCACGTCTGGCACCAAAAAGCTTCGCCGCCGTGTTTTTGTCTCTGGAGTTAGCGAGTTCGTGCGCCCGCCGGCCCAACCGTACGAAAAGATCGATCGTTTTCTTCAACTGATTCATTCGACTCAATCGCAAGATCACACTAGTGACTCGACAGTTGCTCGGGACTACAACCGGGTGCACGAGGAACGGGGGAGAACGTCTGGCACAAACTAAACGGACCGTAGGATTCAATAAATAGGCCACTACCAAATACAAGTAGGGCGCGTACGGTATCGTACGGACTGTACACGAGGAACAAAAGGCATCACACAAAAGTGACAAGATCCATCTTCGGCCGATGAAATATTATTTTTATCCCAATCGTACAGTGAGTACTGTACATTTGTACTGTACCATGTGATACGGCACAATACAAGCGTTGAGGTCATTGTCTGAATTTTAGTCGAACTCATCGATCGATCACAGAATAGGCAGTGCCAGATAGGGAACATACGGTAGTATTTCTAGAAGTAATTCGTACAGTAATTCATCTTTCGCCCCACACCGCGGACATAGTTGCTCGGCCCGAACCCAATACTGTAGCAACACAGCACAACCAAGCACCAAAGCAACCAACACAGTAAACTACACGAAACACCAAACAAAATGGCTCCCTTTGAAGACGGCGTCGAGGCCATGACCCTTCCCGAAAACCGATTCGACGTGACCATCATCTGCACCACCGACGACCACCAGGCCGAGTTCTGGATGCGCAAGCTCAAGACCCCGACGCCGATCGGAGGCGCCGCCTCGGTCTTCCCGCTCGTTGTGGCCGTCTCGGAGGACTGGTCCGGATCCGGGGGCGCCGGGAACGGACTGGGGACCCTCTACGCCTGGGAAAAAGCCTGCGCCTACGCCTCGGAGCACGTCGAGGGAGGGCCCGACCTAAGGGCGCTGCTGGCAGAGGGAAGCATCTCGGCCGCCCTCTACCACACGGCCGGAAAGGGGACCCGCATGGCCCCCCTGCCGGCGAGCGAGAACAACAACAAGCCGGGGGTGGTGCGTGACTGCGTTGCATTGCATTGCATTGCGTTGATTCTCTTCATTTTGGGTGTGTGTGACGGATTGCCGTTTTCGCACAGCCTCTCCTTTTGTTTTTTTTTTCTGACAAACTGTATTTTCCCCTCTTGATTCGAATCTCTGGGACGCCTTTGGAATGATGAACCAAACAATATCCGACGAAAAACTCCAACACAACAATTCACAACACCAAACCAAATACTTCGTACTGTATATTTGATACATTATCATACATTTTTTCCGTCGATGCGATGGGCACGGTGGCATTCTATGGTACGCTATACCATACATTATTCACGCATCGCTTCCATAGAAACTCCCATTTCCAAAGCAAATCACGGTCTTGGAGGCGGTCGTTCGACAAACGGGGATCTACGCCTCCTCCCGAAAGGGAAGGCTGAGTGTCTTCTGGGGTGACCAGGTCTTTTTGCCACCGCAAAAGGAAAACTACCTCTACGAACCATCCCATCACATCGACATTATGTGCACCTTGCTAGGAGATACGGCCCCGACCGCGAAAGAGTGGACCGACCAGGGACTGGACAAGTACGGGGTCATCGCCGTCCTCAAGGAATCCGGAGACGGGAAGGTCGCGGAGGCGGCCCAGGTCGAAAAGGTCAGCCACGAGACGGCCACAAAGATGCTTGGGGAGCTCGGAACAATCGCCCAGGTAGGACCGTCGCTGGGGAGTTTTTCCGTCTCGGCGGCCATTCTGGCCGGGCTCTGCGAAGAATACTCTTCCGAGCTGACACAGAAGCAGGGAAAGATGGACACGGACCCGCATTTCTGGATGCCCCTCACCCTGCCGGAAGACTCGTACGTCCAGCTCATGTCCCAAAAGGGCGTGGACTCCTCGACTTCCAAGGTACACTACCAACGCATGAAGGCCTTCTCCGAGAAGTTCAAGGCTGCCAACGCGGGCAGCTCCTTTGGGCTCTTTGGGGCCGTCGATGTCGGCAAGGACGCCTGCTGGTGGGACTACGGCCAGCTCAAGCTCTACTCCAAGAATTCGCTCCTCTTGCTGGACGACAAAAACCCGGAGTCGAAGCTCCTCAGAAAATTCCTGGGCATCAAGGAGGGACCCCAGTTCGGAACCTTTGCCCCCAGCGACGTCATGAACCACCACTCGTACGCCTTTGACTGCAACATTGCCACCGGCACGATGAGAAACTCCCTCCTCTCTCACGTGACGGCCCGTGAGGTCAACGCGGAGGGGGCCATCATCGTCAACTGCGTCGCCCCCAAGATCACGGCCGGAAAGGGGGCCATTATCTACAACATCATCGGGGAGCGAGAGATCGTTGCCGAGGAGGGAAAGGTCATGGTGGCCGTGTCCAGCGAGGACGGGACCTCCATGGAAATATGCAGCCGGATGGACATCGACGGCGGAAAGGTCTGGAAGGAGGTCGTCGAGGGCAACCCTATGTCCTTTGAACAGGTCCGGAACAACAACATGGACGCCAACATTTCCCAGGTCGATCTCAAGCGCAAGGAGAACTATACAATCGTTACGGAACGAATCTTCCAGACCATGAAATAAACAAAAGACTGGCCCCAACGAAAACGATATTGCGTCCAAACACGGAAGGGAACGGACGACAGCACGCATTCTGGCAGTGTGCTCATAAAGTATTGATGCGATACAATGGAATCATTCGAAACAACACAATACAATACTCATAACATGTGCTATTTCCAACGAACTATTGTATCAGTGTAGAATTTCTTTTCGGTCGCTGTGTGCTTGTAGCTTGAATTTGCTAAAGTAGTTACATCGCTGTAGCATAGTCGTATGACAGAGGTCTGTTCCAGCACCCTAGTATCGAATTCTACATCTGCATCAAAGCCGATCCGGAGGTTTGGCACAGGTTACAAAAAGTCGGCCCGGTACCAGAACGCATCTCATCCTTGGACACAACAGAGAATACCGGCCATGCATGCAACCCAACCGAAACAGGACAAACAACCCGGCACCTTGCACTCCTCCAACAAGTACGGTTGTCCCGCTGTTGTTATTATGATATGATGCACGTGGGTGTGGCACAAATCCGAAACGACGCGACGAACAAAGTCCAATCAAGGTGGTGCGTGGTGTACTGTTGCACAAGGACAAAACGACCAAGCCGAAGAGCTTGTTGTTGCTTCCAAAAATCATGCTAGACTGCCCCGTGACATTGCTCGCGGAAGGGAACGGATGCATACGGATTCCTAGGTGTTTGTTTCACTCAATGCATGGCTTGAGTCGTCGCTCCCCCGGCACCCCAGCGCTACAGCAGAAAATCGCCCGGCATCACTTTCGTTCCTGTTCACAGTCGTTCTCGTCGTCTTCTTGCTCCGTCACCTTGTAGAAAATTACCAGGGCCCACCGGGTCCCCTTGGTGATCGGATCCGCCTGGTGCCAAACGGCCCGATCGATGAAGGCAATGTCCCCGGGCCGGGTATCGTAGTGGATCTCGCGCGGGCGGGTTCTCGGCCTGGTCCGCTTCGGATGACCATCGCTGCGATCGGGTCTGTCTCCCCCGTCGTCCTCCGGAACCGGCTCTCTGCCGTCCCAGAAGGTCAGGCCGCCCCCGTGCCCGTAAAAGGAGTTGTCGGGCCCCGTCCAGCGGTCGACGGGGAGGGCCAGGACGCAGGAGCCGTCTACCTTTCCGGCGCCGTCGACGTGCTTTAGGAGGGCCTGCTCCCCCGGGGCCGGTGTGTAACGCGTGACAAAGGTCATGAGACGCTCGCAGGTACGCCTCGCGGAGTGCCCGCGGTTCGTCCGGTGGTTGTTGCAGGCGTGCTGTTGCTTGTACCAGGCCAGAAAGAGGTCGTCGCAGGTATTCAGGAGCGGCCGAAAGACCTCTAGGAGCTCCGTGTGTGGATTTGTGCAGGGGACGCCTCCCTCCATGACCTCCAGGTAGCACGAAATCTTCCATTCCTTGATCTTGGCAATGCCTCCGTTGTACGTAACGGTTTGCGGATCGAACATGTCAAGGAGCTTGGGGTGCATGATGTGCTGCTCCAGATATTCTTCCGAGACCACCCCCTCCAGGACCAGGTGGCGGAGTTTCTGGAGCTTGTGCCGCAGTACCTGCCGCGAGATCTCCCTGTCGAGGGTGGCGCGGGGGCGGGCCAGGATCGGCGGGGCATCAACGATGCTTGCGGTGTGTGTTCGGTCCGTTTGCGAAATTGTGGAATTTATTTTCGCGGCGGAAGCAGATGTTTCCGGACCATTGAGAACGAAAGCGCTTTGATTCTCGTTGTTCTCCTTGTTATGGAAACCGCCTTTATTGCCGACGGCATCGTTGTTCATCTTGGATGGAACCATTGCGTCGACTTCGTCGTTTGAGGCGCTTTGCTGCCGGTTGTTTTTGCTCATCATTCTGGCCAGGGGATCATCCGCGGTGGCAGTTGCAGCATGGCTGTTATCAACAGTCATGTTTTTGGCTTCGTCGAGATACAGATAGAGAATGGTCGAGTGATCATTCACAATAGCTATGAATCGTTAGTTACAGCACTCGTATGTGTAGTAATAGAATCAAAAAGTACTTCCGAGGACTAGCGAGAACAGCAGTTCAAAACTGAATTACTGTACCGTACCAGGTACTGTACGGTACTGTTGTAAAGTACAGTACATAACACGTTAGCGTTACTAATAAGTACAGTTGTGTACGGTACGTACATACGATACAGAGCCACAATGACGCTTCGCCTCCTGCCGTTCAAAAATTCAAATTCTTTTGTGTAGTGGTATGTACTCATACTAGTCAGTAAGCATACTCTTCGTACTATGGATAGTACATAGCGTATTGCTGCGCATACTCCTACCGTAGGAATACGTACGCACATGTAAAATCTTACCGTACTCCAACCAAGCCAGGGGTCATAAATAAAACACTCCTGTTCCAGCCACTCCTCCACACTAGACACATAACCCCTAACACAAAGTACATACCGCCCGGTACGCACTTACGAAGTACTATTGTAGTACCTACGGGACGTTTCAACCAAGTCGAGGAACCTCTGCACGCAATAGGGAGAAATGTTGTGACACTTTGTGGGTGCGCGCTTCCCCCCTTGCGTCATTCCTACTCCGTCCATCCTGCGAAAACTCCGACCGGTGACGCTCGGCATCCACATACCGGGGCAATACTTCGAAAGAACCCATGTTCGCAAAATGAGTTCCACGAATCAAAACACCGCATAGAAAACATACGTGAACGAAGATAGAATAGGATTCATTTCCCGGTTCTAACGCCGTTGCGGCAAAACGGTCCTATGAGTTTTCCCTCGTCACAATTCTAACGGCCGCATCTTGTCTTTCAGTATCTTTCCAAACCTCAAATCCCTAATAGGAGGGACAACACCAACAGGACCGACCACATGGACACCACACACAAAGCTTCGCTAGAAAATTCCGAAATATTGTTCCGATCCAATATCCCGCCCTGATTCAAATACGGTGGACAAATTTGATTTCTTGGTGTTCGAATCATCCTCCATTTGAAAGAAAACGACAACCGCAGCAAAAAGCAACTGCAACTCCACACAATATTTGTTCCAAGAAATCTCAAACCGAGACCGTTCTTTCCTTGCTTCGAGCACAACCACAGGGGCGAATAGAAATACAAGATCTACTCCAAAAATGTTGACGCAACGCACAGGCTCGTTCTTCCGAACATTCCTGGTCGCCGCACTGTCGGCATCCGGTGGGTGGAACCATGGTTTGGACAGTGCAATTCTGGTAGACGCGCACAAGGACCACCCCATTGAACCGTCCTCTAGCGACAATGCTTCTCTCAATGGTAGGGTAGACTGGTGTCCCGGATATTTCTCCGGCGATGGGGGCGCCTGTGCCTCAATCCTGCCCTCCGGCGCGTCGTGGGGACAGTGCACGTACTACGAAAGCGACACCGACAACGGAACCACGAGACTCGAGACGAAGGTTTGTCTGTGCACGGTAGACGATCCGTTCTGGAGGTGCGTTTCTTCTACTGTCACCGATCCCCCCCTTGGGTCTTCCACTGAACCCACAGCAACACCCACCAGGTTCTTTCGATTCAAGACTCCGTCCCCGACTACCGAACCGACCGCTACCCACAGCAGCCATCCCTCCCCCGCACCCAGCGCATCGCCGACCCATCCACCAACCCGTGCTCCATCCACGCAACCGTCTGCCGCACCGTCCGGGACACCAACGAGCTTCTTTGTCTACAATACCACCCCGACGGCCAATCCGACTCGCGCCTCCCGCCGATGGGGAGTCGTCGTCGCGTACGGGAATCCCCCGCCGGAGGAGCACAAGCCTCTGAACCTGTGCGAGGGTGATTGCGACACGGACGATGACTGCGTCGATGGCCTGATTTGTTTCCATCGTATTGGCCACGACCACGTTCCGTACTGCCACGGGGGGATGCGCGATGAAACCCCCAGCGACTACTGCACATATCCACCGGACGATGGAGCCATGGAAGCCTCTGCAACCCCATCGGCTGCTCCATCGGCTGCTCCATCGGTTACTCCCTCGGCTGCTCCCTCGGCTACTCCCTCGGCTACTCCCTCGGCAGTCCCATCAATGAGACCATCTTTAAACCCTACGGAAAGCCCTACAGAAAGCCCTAGCGTGTCGCCAACCGACACACCTAGCTTCTCACCAACCGATAGCCCTTCGGCATCTCCTAGCGATTCTCCAAGCGTGAGTCCATCGGAAAGTCCTAGTGCATCACCATCCGATAGACCTAGCGTCTCACCAAGTGATAGCCCTTCGGCTTCTCCTAGTGATTCTCCAAGCGGACGTCCATCGGATAGTCCTTCTATTTCCGTGGCACCTTCTTCGTCCGTTCAACCCAGCAATTCTCCTTCTATATCTGCAAACCCTAGTAGCTCACCATCGTCGAGTCCATCTGATGCCCCCAGCTCGTCGCCGAGTGCAAGTCCATCTTCAGAACCCAGCGCAAAACCATCGGCATCACCTTCGGATAGTGTAGAACCTAGTTCGGAGCCGTCCTCAGAGCCTAGTACAAATCCATCGATGCATCCCAGTGAGTCTCCATCGATTTCAACGCGGCCAAGCGCAATACCTACGGCCTCACCGACTTCCAGTCCCAGCAGTGGTCCAACTATGTCTTCTGTGCCATCTGCACCACCTACTATGATTCCATCTTCCTATCCTAGTAGCCAACCAACTCACAAACCATCGAAAAGGCCCTCTAAATATCCAACAATGCGCCCTACCCCTGATCCAACTCCAAATCCAACGCCTCAACCAACTCCAAGACCTACACCCAATCCCACTCCTGACCCAACACCGCAACCAACACCTCGGCCCTCGCTGAGACCAAGTGCTGACCCAACTCCACAACCTAGCCATTCTAGTGATCAACCATCTCAGCAACCATCGATGAAGCCCAGTAGAAATCCAACTKGGAAGCCATCAGTGAGCCCTACACCCGATCCGACTCCAAGGCCCTCACTAAGACCAAGTCGAGACCCAAGCTCAAGTCCCACGCCAAATCCAACTCCGGAGCCAACTCCTCACCCTACGCCTCGTCCAGAAAAACCTCCATCGAGTGCTCCTTCATCCTCGCCATCAATCAAAGCAACAACTGACAATGCTGCAACTCCTGAACCCACCAATACGAAGAAAAACTGCTATTACAACGGGGTTTGGTATGAGCATGATACATGGTACGCAGGCCAAAGTCAAACATGCAAATGCTATGATGGGGGTTGGATAGGATGCTTTCTGAACTCCGACACTCGCGATCCAACAGAAACTCCGACACAAGCAAGTGCAAATCCTACATCAGTACCTACGCCTCCTTCGAAAATGCCTGTTTCCCAGTTGGCAACAACTTCATCGCCGACTGGAAATACCGAAGCTCCAACAGCAACAACTGTTGCTCCTTCCCCTATCCCGACGTTAGCATCTCAATCGCCTTCCGACAGATCTGCAACAGACTTGCCTTCAGAGAGCCCTATTACTGCGAAAACGGGAACTCCGTCTAGTTCCCCGACTGGATCACCAACAGCAGCAACTACAATCCTAACGACAAAAGGTTTATCTTATGTGCCATCGGAGAGTCCTTCAGCTAGCCCTTCAGCAAGCCCCTCGGCAAGCCCCTCAACGAGACCAAGCGCTGCAAAAACAGGGACTCCTACATCCCAACTGCCAACAGTCTCTACTGCGCCGACATCTTCGCTTGAACCAACATCGTTTTTCATTTTTAAGAATTGAATCGGCGATAAACCCCACGGCGATATCCAGCCTAACAGTCTGAATTGACAGAGTCAACGGACGTTGAAGAAATGGAATTGTTTATCGACTTGATCCCACAACTCTAGAGCACGCATATTCGTCTCATCTCGACAGGAACGAATCTCATTTTAATATACATCAAGTCGACTTACAAAGACGAATACATAGTGGGAAAATCCTATACAGACACCTTTGTATTTGTCTACACCAAAACATACATGTTTAGTACGAAGTTTCAGTAGTATATTTTTATCAAATCAAATAAATTAAACACATTGCGCCATTTCTGTATCCATTCCAAACAACTTACTCGAGGCGACGCAATGCATCCCATCGTTTTTTTAGCGGTGTGTTTTTGTGATGTTTCGTTCCTATCACAGCTGCCACTCAAGCAATCGCATAGTTGCATGCGTGACCAACAATAAATAGTAGCTTCAGGATATAGAGGAATTGAACGATGGTATATCGAATCAAGGTCGGGCTATTCGATATGCATAGCCGGAAAAATAAAAGGTAAAATAAATCGTGTTCCTTCCAAACGTTGACGACTCCATTCTCTATTGCCAGACACTGAATAGTAATGATGTTTTTCGTGTGCAGTTGGTCTTCTGAGTTTTTCTTGATACGATTCGATGTATCTTCCCGTTTGCGACTCTTCTTTCATGGAAATATATCGCGATTTTTCCTCATTTATGGTGGATCGTGCAGCATTCATACTAGTCGTTGCATTTGTTTACTACGTCACATAGTAGCAGAAGGATTATATTGGCCAAGTTGCAAGGATTGTTCCAAATACATATGCGACGATGTCTTGGTGTTGGTGGAATGATTATTACACAAAAGAACTTTCGGTCGTGCTTTCCCCGCCATCGGTGCCCGTGCACTCATCGTTGTTGCGATGGACGATTTCCCGCTTGACGTAGACGTAAGTGTAGGCAAATGGACCATAAAGGGTTCCATAGTAAATTGGATTGTTCAACCAGTCCAGGGGCAAATGAAAAACAAAGTCCCACAGATCTACAACGAACAAAAAGCCAAAGGAGATCAGGACGGCCAGAAATGGATATGCGGGCAAGATTTTCAAAAAGGCCCATCCAACCCTGGGCAGGAACACCGTTCGAAAGGGTATTTTCTTGATCCTGTGCTTGCTCCGTCTGCTATTGTCGCTCTTTCTCATTCGATGAATATCAACATAGAGCGCTAGTACGTAAGAGGTTGCTGCGGTGAATAGCTTGGCTGGTATCTGAATGTAGTAGGAAGGAATGTTCGGAAACAATTGTGTTGCTGATTCCCAAACCACGGATAGGTAGTAATGATGATCCAAAAGGTTCGCAATGCCCACCATGGAAAGCAAAAATCCGAGGACAACACAATTATCCTTTTCGAGTGAGGCTTTCTTGAAATGGTTTTCGTAAATATTAGCATTTGCACTTTTGAGTGTTCTTGATGTCGATAGTGATTTTGAGGACGATGAAGCGGCGGATGGCGAGGAAAGGATGTACTCCGACGCCAAGTAAGTCAAAAACAACGAATTCGCAATTTCCGATATCATATTTTCATCTTTTGCTCTTCCGTCGATGGCATTCGATTCAGTTTGCCAGAATAAATGTTCTCCGATCTTGCAGGAAGAGAAAAGGGGAGGCAACTATTGCGTACTCGCACCAGTCTGGACAGATCGTGCTATCATATTTTGGCTGAAATTCTAAATTCTCATCTTTTGTTGAATTTGGAGCAAGGTTCGGTCCTGAAAACCATTCCCTCCATCAACAAATTACAACTACTCATTTCCCTGCATGATTTTGTTTTTAGTCAGCAATTGCAAACAATTGCAAATTGCAAATTCATTTCCTTTAAGAGCTACTAAAGGCAAGAAGCCCCATGCTGGCAAGATATTGGCATTTTATGGTACAAACACTAATACTGTAATTCGGACAAACATAAAAATAGTGAAAAAGTGCTACTATCATCCCCAGTAGTGACTGCAAGGTAACAGAAATTTTAAGTATTAGTAACCTCTGATATTGTATCCTCAGTAGTAAGGTCTCCTGATAAAAATATCTGTGGACTTGTTGTTTGGGAAATGGAGACACAATCCTGTAGTACTTGAAAACTAGTATGGTATCATCCATGAGCTCCATCACAGCAGTTGAAGGATTGAAAGTACCTACTAGGATAGAAAATACAAAGCTGAACATCCTCTACTACTACAGCATCACCACAGTCACCACAGAGAATAGCACTCATGCTTTCCTCACCCATCTCAATACAACCCTTGGGATTTTGAATGACTCACCAATGAGAACCTGGCACACCTTGGGAGACCATATATTTCCATCCCTCTAGTAGCATATGTGCAGCATTTAAGAGCTTGAAAGAAGCATGCAATATGACTGGAGATATTGCTAGTAGTAAAGTTGTCCAAACTTCCCTGGAATGGAAAGTGTTGGTTGGTGAAAATGAAATTTGCAGTAGCATTTTTCATTTGCAAAACACCCCAAAATGACAACCTCTGCAGTCATTATCATTTGGCAAAGAGTATTTGGCATTAGTGCCTGAGCTAATTCATTGAAAGGGCCAATTTGCATCAAAATGGAGGAGATTATACTCATCACTCAAGCAGACATTGATGTTAAAGACCTTGAGAAGTATTAATCTTTAAAACTACTGTATGATGGAGCCTCAAGATTTTACAAGAATCAGCAAGAACACAGCAGGTAACATATGAATTCTTTGGAATGCTTCAGGAGTAACATATCTCACAGTACAATAAAGAAGGGTGGGAATGCATTTTATGATTTCTATTTCAGAGTACTGAATGTAAACAATAAATCTTAAATCTTACCTGGCCTGGGGAGAGACAAGGCTACACATGCACCAAGAATTTGGCTGTACAAGGAGAGCAATGGAAACATTCTGAGACTATTTTCTGGGGAAGAAATCCAGTTTGACCAGTTTGATTGAAGAAGATATGGTGAGTTACTATGGCACCCTTGTCCAGAGGTAATACAATTGCAACATGCCTAGTACTAGAACTATTTGTTGGAATTTATCCACATGGCCAAAAAGGAGGGAAGTCAATACATGGGAATGCTGGTGTACACTATACAAAATACTGACTCATCTCTTGTCTGTGGAACAAGGTAGTCAATGTCTACTACTAACCTCAACAAGGATGGAAATAATTTGCATTCTGGGGTGGAGCACAGAGCTGTAAGAGATCCTGATAACTTAAAACAATTGTAGCTAGAAAACAAACAAAAAAGTTGAGAAGAATTCAAACAGAATAAGTGGTAGGATTTCTGATAGTAGACATTGATGTGCAAAACTGAGATAGACATTATGATAAACCTATTTTTGAGTTGTTTGGAAGAAAAGTTCACTTGCTTTTCTAAACTAAAAGGATTTGGCAATTTTTAGCAATTGTCAAGGGAACAACAGCAACATGTGAGGGTAAATATGGATACTGGTGAATGTTTGTGTCCATATATGAGGTATCAGCTGGTACATACAGTTTTGAGCTGTAAATAGGATGTAGTGCTAATATCATATAGGTACTTCTCCATGTGTATTGGAATGATTCTATAATCCTTTTTGTGTGCCATAATATTGCTGACAGCATTTATATTTGCAAATAACAAATTTGAAAGGTGCCCAAATACTGTGCAGTACAATTTATGCCTGCTATAAAATTGTAATGACATGTATTTTTTTAAAACAGCTTTTTCATAAGAATCTTCAATGTTGCATGCTTTAAATATTTCCCAACCTCATGAAAAGAATCTTGAAACAGTTCTCAAGAAATATTGAATACTATACTAGTAATTATTAGATGTATTATAGGGTTGGTGGAGCAAAAATTTACAATCTAATCATACACCGCCCCAAATAACTTTGTATGATCAATAACACCTGCCTTATAACCCCCCACATCACTGTTTTTGTCTTTCAATTTGTTTTCAATTCATGTCCCTATCATTGTTAAGCATCCTTTAAAAGATAAAGCTAAAACTATCAGTTCAAGACTAAAACAGTTATACATTTAAATTATACAATGTGTTGACTTTGGGCCATCTTTTGACTGTGTAATGACTCCTCATGGGATTAAAAATTTGACTTGTACTAGGGCTACAGCAACAGCAGGTGCAAGCATCACTATTTGGTCCTCACAAGACTGGCAGGATTCAAAAATAAAAAATGGAATGGTCGTACTGAKCACATGCATTATGTACATATTTAGTTTTCTGTCAAAGTAGTCATTATAGAAAATAGGGTCAAAAACTATGACTGGATCATAGATCTGTCTGCCAACTCTATACAATAAATTAAATTATCCAGATTCTATGCTGCTCCTGATACAAAATTTGTCCTGACATCCCCCTAAAAAGGTCCACTGTAATATTTTACATGTGACATGTATTAGAAGAGCTAATTGCATTAATTTAATTGTTCCAGCTCAGACATTGCCTGTCCTTTTCTCACATTTTGTAGAGCTATCACATTGGATCTAGTCACTGTTCTTGTTGAAAACAGAAGTTGATACACAACACTTTTTCATCTACCATTGAGTCCAGGTTGCTCTGTCTCTTTTCCTTACTGTTGGGCCTTCTTTGTTCTGTACTCTCTATTTTCTCTTTCTTCCAAGTTCCTACCACCCTTCTCTCCTAATCCAAAACAATTCCTATCGTATAGAGTTGGCAACCAAATGTGTGCACCAGTCATACCTTTTGGGCCATCTAATTACCCTGTAATGACTCGTGGGATTAAAAATTGACTTGTACTACAGCTACTACTACTACAGAGTGCACTTCTTGCGAGCGAAACTATTTTGATCACACACTAGTAGTGGGATTCAAAAATTCAGCACATGCCCTGATGTACTGGTAGTACAAGTCAATTTTCAATTTTTTAATCCCACGAGTCATTAGACGGTAATTAGATGGCCAAAAATCGACGCACAGTCCTCGTAGAAAAACACGTAGGGCATTTAGAGAGGTTCAAATCACTCGAACAGATAACTTTCCCCCCAACAGATGCGCAAGTTTGATAAGCACATGGCTGAAAAGATGACTGTAAACTTGTGGGTTATTTGTGGGTTCCTGGGTTCATTCATGGGTTATTTTTCAAATAAAATATCCCACAATTCTAAAACATGGGTTATTCTTCACCAAAAACAACCCATGTTTTTCTAGGGGATGCGCGCGTGGGTACTGAAGGGCACAGTGGGTTGCTCCTCGGAAAATGGAGAACCTTGATCATAAGTAATTGCTCCAAACTGAAAGACCGGCAGAGAATCGATATGTCTCCTACTTAATGAACGCCGTGAGCTATGGTACAAAGTACGAGTACTATTCATTCTTTTCATTCCTTGTTTTTAGTTAGCGAGAAAACGGTATTGTAATTTTGGTTTTGAATGATTGTATTATGATCCCGATTGTGTGAAGATTTAACTAATAGGATTGCGAAAATGTCCCCAATATTAAGCTTAAGTAATACAGTACTGTAAATATGTTTATGAAATCGTAGCGTACCAAGTACTGTACTGTATCGACTTTTGGTAATTAGTCTAATCGATTGGACGGATATCAATTAGCATGGATAGTAATTTGGACCACGTAACCTCTTAAGTAAAATCAAAACCGATTCGCAACAAAAAATTCTTCTCAATCTGCCGATCGTTGTTTTTTTTCTTGTTATCGTATTGGTTGAAAGACTGAGGAACAAAACATGTCAAACCATCGTTTCTTCTACTAGCGGAGGTGCCGGTACAACAACTACTACTACTACTACACGTACTTCTTACTAATTGGCAAGGATAACTAACGAACCCTTATTCTTCGCGATTACTAGAAAAAATTTCCAGTAATAGCACTGTTGTTCCTCTACTCTGTACAGTAGCTCAAGGTTTAATTTTTTGATATTTTTCCTTCCCCTGCTAACGAACCACTTTTCGTCAAGATACCGTACGTGTCCAAACCTGTCGATCCTCTAATGCAATAGGGCAGGGGAGATGAGACATGACAAGACAAGTCAAGTCAAGTCAAGTCAAATAAGTACGAGTTACTCAGAAACGAACAGAGCTAAGCTAATAATAATAGATAGCCCAAAAGTGGTCAATGCTTTTGGATTTGCTTGTTCCTCCTGTATTGGCTTGAGGGAATATTGCAATCGCATCCTTGTACCTGCCAGCGTTAGGTCGCACGCCGAACTGTTTGTTGCTTGTCTGAAACACGCAGAGGCTAGAGTATCCTCGATTGTTTACGAAACGAAGCATCGCTGGTGATAATTTGTTCGCATCACGGAAACCGAAAAGATTATGACGGCACTGTCAACTGCTATCAGGACCATACACGACCTTAAACCAAACCATTTTTTTTCGGAACAACCGGGGCCGTTGCCATCTCCCCAGGGAAGGCGTCGCGGCCAAGGTCAATTTCATCACTATCAATCACCCCAAAGCACGGAGCGATCACACAGGGTCATGGGCAGCGACAGCGACAACGACCCGAACCTACTAGGCGATGACGCGGAAAAGGACGCGAGCAACGGCAGAAAACGCGAGAAGACTCGCTCGCTATCACCATGCCCGTCGTTTTTGCCGTTTGACGTAGAAGACAAAAAATGTGCGGTTTACGTTGGTGACATTCCATTCAATGGACGAAATCGATGCAGGATTTGTTTTGGAAACGGCGACCGAAGCATAGATAGGGGCAGCATACAGGATTGTGACAACGATACCGTCGATAGCAACATCGCTAGCGATGATGACATTCTTGTTTCAAGTGACCGAAGCAATCCCAAAAATAAAGATGGGGCATGCGCATGCGAAACCGAGTTGAAGGCATACATCCGAGGGCGAATATTTGCTGCATACAAGACCCCCATCCGATACATCGGGATTCGTTCCTGTCGATTCTTTGCACTTCCAGCTCGTTCTACCAGCTCATCTACAAGCACGGAGAAAAACGACGCTGAAGACGACGAAGATACGACCAAACCATGCGACACAAACAGCAACCTCCACCGTCGTTCTGACCGCCGCCTTCGAATAGCGGCCTGTATCGAATTTGAAAACCCAAGGCTGGCAGAGTATTCATTGGGACTCAAGTACACGACCTTTTCCTTCCGAAGCCATCCGACCGTACGAGCGGCCTTAAAATTCCGTCCCTGGGCGATAGAATCCCGTCTTTCACAACAACTTACCCCAAGGATGCCTCCAAAACACCAGAATTCAAAGGAACAGCAATTGGCTCCTCCAAAGAATGTCCTACCGAGGCCCATATCCAGCCCACCGCATCGGAGAAATCTTGTTTGCGACATTGATTGCAACTCCAGCGACGAACAATCGCCATCGTCGAGCATAAGTTTTTCGCCATCACCTCCAACCTCCTCGTGCCTTGTCCTCATCACAAACATTCCCTCCGATGTGACGTGCGACGAACTCGCGGCATTTCTTGTCGAACGAATGAACAGGGCCTTCCGCGGAAAACCTTCACCGACAATTCTCCGCCTCGCCATTCGGAAATCCAAGGCTATGGATGCCGATAGAAGCGATCCTGCTACCGATAGAAATGACCAATCCCGACCAATCCGAAACCACGCATGCGTGGAATTTCAAGATGCAAGGGCTGCCTTTCGGGCAACAACGTTGAAACACCGACGCTGGCACGCGAAGCCACAGGAATGCGAGACCGAAAACAACGTAGGCAATGGCTTTGGGGCAGGGGGCTGCAGTGGCACAAAAGGCAGCGACAAGACGAGAGATTCGGCAAGAGCGCCCTGCCTTGGAATCGAAATCTGGGATCCCACGAAACACGACGTAAATGATTTTTTCATTGGAAATGAGAGTAGTATTCCTGAAGCAATCAATACCGATGACGGCACGGAAGACGATATATCTGAAAGCTCCAATTTGGTCGCCGAAAAGGATGAAAAGAGCGATGGTGTGCGCACAGCATCTGAGCTGACCGAAAACGAGATCGAACCAAAATTAAAAACCCTTTTCGAAGAGCTGAAAGAGGATGGCTTTCTAGTGTGTAAGCACGCGAGCATAAACCAGAAGCTTGATCACCTCTTTGCGATACCCGGAAGTGGAAAGAAGGCATCCATGTGTCAAGGATACGCATTTCGTGGTAGAATATGTCGGGCTTACAGGCGATCTCTAGGCATCGATAATGACAACAATACAAGGGGATCTGCCAGCAGCAATCACTCATGTCCATACGTACACATCGATTCGCTCGAGGATTTGGAAGATCCCCTCGACGTTCTAGCTATATTATACTTTGTCCATAACAACGACGACATCAATTTTGTTCCTGGACACGGCTGGACACCCCAAGAATACCTCCAACAACAGCAATTTAAGCTTTCTGCACTACCTCCATCTCAACACCAACAACCTACCCAGTCAAAATCTATGGAAGAAGTAGTTGAAAAATTGCAGAATGATCTCTCGGAAGTTCGAACCCAATTGGCCATCACCCAACAAGAGCTTCTCAAGTCTGAAAATGCAAACGAATACCTACTCGAAAAACAATCCAAGGCTGCTCTGATCGAACCATCCAATACATCCTCAAAACAAGAAGTACAAGAAAAGGATACAATCCGGTCGTTGCAAGACGAAATTGCCCGATTGAAAATTCATCTCGACGAAAAAGACCAAAATTTGAAAGCATCAGAACGAGATGCAGCAGAAATCAGGCGCGAGTGCTTTGCCTTGATAGAACAATCCAGAAATTCCACGAAACAGGTAGCAAACAAGCATATATCCGATGATAACTTGAAATCGGATATCATGAAGCTCAAGGAGGAACTTCAGCAAACTCGATCAGATATTCAAAAACTTGATCAAACCCGCTATTTCAATCCCAACTCACACGTCGGGCACGTCTGGGCCCAAGGGAAAATGGATAATTTTATTCAAACTAGCGTACCCGCACTAATGGAATTAGCGGGCGGAACCCAAAACGAGCAACAACAGCAGCATGCCATGTATCATTCTTTGAATAATTCCCTCTCTTCATTGACCCGTGATGGACCCGATGAATCGAAAACAACGGAATCCGTAAAATCTGTCGCTCTGCAAGCCGAAATAGCCGCTGTTCAATCTTTATACGGCAGAGAAGCGGTAGTCACGAGCAGTGGATCGTCAACTACAGTGACGCGATACATCATACTCCCCGTTCTCAATTCTCAAGCGGGAGACATCACGGTGACCCTAATCATCACTCTTCCAAAGGGCTACCCATCGCAAGGCGTTGTTGAAATTGATGCCAATGCCCTGCCTCACAGTTTTCCAAGGATCAAAGAATGTATATCGAGCTTGTTGCTCGTTTGTCAATGGGAAGCAGAAGCTTGCACCGGGAGTCCAGCAGTGATCAGAATCATGAAAAAGGTCGAGCAATGGGTACAAAACGATTGGGAGATCCTCCAAAGGAAACTCACTTCAATGGGCCATGGTATGAATGAAGAAACGCGAAAAACATTTTTCCATTCGATGTGACGAGGAAGAGGCGCTAGTTAGAAGCAATGTTTTTCTCGCCTTCCACCTTGCCTCACAAATTCCTTAGCCTACTTCATACTGCAAGGTTCAGAACGATTGAAACAATTGAATAAACCCATAGTTTCTGGAAACCCTGTTTCTGATAGCTCGATAAATCACTATAAGCTACGAAGATCGAGGAAGTCTGTGACTTGCGACATTATTCTATTTCTGTGCATATGAAACGATCGAGGAGTCATGCCTGCTTTATTACTAGAAACGGAATGATCCTGCAAACTTCAGTAGCCGCTGGTTTATGTTAAATTTTTCGCATTGTTTTTGTCTTGCATCAATCGGTCTCGTACTCGATTCCATACAGTTTCATGAGTCCCTCCAGCTTTGTTTGGAGTCGTCTGGCTTCTGCCATGTCGTCTCCCGTCGAAGTTTCTCCGTCTTGGGCTCGACGCTTGCGAACATTTTCCAGTTCACGATTGAGTCTCAAACGGAGCCCCTCGAGTTCTTCGTATGCTCTTTGCCTTTCCTCCTCATCCATTTCGTTCGCTGCTGCGTCCGGTGGTGGTAGTTCGTTTTGCCCTGCTACCTCCACAAAGTCCAGCCTAGGCAGTTTCAGCCAGGGCAAGGGATCCTTGTCTTTGCCGCCATCGTCGCCGCGATTGCTTGGGCGAAAACCCGATCGGTTGAACCCCGAACCATCGCTCAAAAAAGCCCCCAGGCCCTGATCACCCTCCAGCATCTTGTTGATGAAGGATTGGGCCGAGATCAACAGCACGAGGGCAACAGTAGCGATCAGTAATGGAGATAAAAGGGGATTGTCGGGAAGGAGGAACATGCTGGTGTCCATTTCTGTAGTCTGAATGCCCGACAGTAGGGAAGATGACGACAACGATGGCGGACCCGAACGAATCATCGACGAAGATCCTAAACAAACGCTGCGCTGGGAACAGTTTGGATTGCCGGTTCGCATGCCATTCGGAGTTGAAGGAACAACAAAGGGTTGCGATCGTGTTGAGGTGGTGGTGATCATATTTCTAGTTGGTATTCTATCTCTCAAACCGTAAGAAATCCAACGAAAATGGTGTTGTGATGCTTCCTGCAAGTTTGCGATACCAATGCTGTGTTGTGGATTGGTTGTTGGTTACAAATTCGGTTCAAAGCAATTTCACTTCGTGATTGCATTCCTTGCCTAAGGCGAGAGATATTTACATAGTACTTGTACGAAGTGCGGTACGCAGTATTAAAATATTAAAATTTGAACTTGATTTTGGGAAAATCTGTATCCAAGTTCGAAGTGTGCGTGAGTCGTTACTACTAATGATATGTACTTAGAATACTCACATACTCACGATACATACCAATGGGACTTCAGAGAATTCTTTCGATCAAATCGAACCATCGAAGAACAAAATCAAATCAAATCATAGAAAGCAATCAAATCATAGCAAGCAAGGATATTACCGTATCGCTTTTCGTGTCAACCATCAACCATCAACAATCATCTTGTTCCTCGTAACATTTTACTCGAATCCTTTCGCCTCAGCTCTATCAGCAATTAGCTACAACGGAAGTTGCGCAAGGTACATCAACCACAGACTGCAATAGAGGAAAACAATTTAAAGCGAGAGAATTGTAGCCATTGATCCTTCAATTCCTCTCGTTACAGAACAGAATCTACCATTCTGTACATGATTGCTTCAAAAATCAAACGTGTTCCGTACCATCCGTTCGGTGTGTGGGCTTTCAACAAGATCTTGAACTTGTTCTTACTTCTGATTTTTGCGAACTGTCACAACATGGTCGATTCTCTCGCTCTCCGCATGCCCCCCCTTGTTGACAAGAAAAAGGCGAACGCCGAGATCTCTTGTTCCGAATGTAAGGGTCCCGTGTTCTCTCTCGGACTGGACACATACCGCGTTCCGATGGCGTTGCACGAGCTAAACCGCGCTCGCCTGGTTCAATCTATGACGAAAGCGTTGACGGAAACAGAGCAAGAACCATCGATTTCTTCCTCACCGGAGAATCCATCTCTCCCGAGAGGGGTCATATTGCTAGAGGGTGGAAAGCAAACGACGCGCTACGACACAGACCACGAGCCTGTCTTTCGCCAAGAATCCTATTTTCACTGGGCATTTGGTGTTCCGGAAGCCGACACGTATGGGGCCATCTCTCTTCCGTCGGGCGATGCAACGATCTTCATTCCTCAATACGGCTTGGACTATGAAATATATTGTGGCAGCTCCCCCGACTTGGAACAAACCCGGTCCAAGTACGGCGTAGAAAATGTAATGCCGATCGATCAGCTCGACGAATTCATTGCTTCGGAGCTAGCTCCGAGCGACGACGGGGGGGACGATGCCCGGTTGTTTCTTTTGTCGGGTCGGAACACCGATTCCGGAAATTATGCCATACCGGCACACTACAAAGGGATTGCAAAACACGATGAGCGACGCAACACCGAGTCTTTGTTCCCGTGCATGGTAGAATCTCGGGTTTTCAAAACCAAGGCCGAAATCGAGCTGATGCGGTACACCAATTGGGTGTCCAGCATGGCCCACGTGGAAGTGATGCGATCTTGCCGGGTCGGAATGATGGAATACCAACTCGAATCACTCTTTCAACATTTTACCTATACCCACGGGGGATGCCGGCATATGTCCTATACCTGTATCTGTGCTTGTGGACCAAATCCTTCTATTTTGCACTACGGCCATGCAGGGCGTCCAAACGATCGAGAATTGGTGGATGGCGACATCGCATTGCTTGATATGGGGGCCGAATACCATTGTTATGCCAGCGATATCACCTGTAGGTAAGTAGACAATGCAATGCATTTCAACGCAATAAAACAACGACATAAAAATCCATAAACGCCGCGAACCAATCGATTGCCTAATCCCTTGCTTGCTCGATCGTCCCGATCAACTCGATCCTCAGTTTTCCCGTGAACGGCAAGTTTTCGGCCGACCAGCTGATGGTGTACAACGCCGTGCTCTCGGCACAAATCGACGTGATTACCGCCATGCGCCCCGGGATTTCCTGGACCGACATGCACCGTGCGGCGGAACGGGCGATCCTGGAGGGACTGAAAGAAGGTGGACTGCTGAAGGGGGATACCGACGCGATGATTGATGCGGATCTCGGTGCGATCTTCATGCCCCACGGGCTGGGCCACCTGATCGGGCTAGACACGCACGACGTAGGGGGCTACACGGAGGGGATCGCACCCCCCCGGAGCGACCGGCCCGGCCTGAAGAACCTCCGGACGGCCCGGAATCTGGAGGCCGGCATGGTAGTGACCGTCGAACCCGGGTGCTACTTCATCGACATCCTGCTAAACTTTGCGCTGGCGAATCCGGCCCAGTCGAGGTTCCTGAACGCCGATCGCGTCAACGAGTTCCGGGGATCCGGGGGCGTGCGGCTGGAGGACGACGTCGTGGTAACCGAAGACGGGTGCGAGAACCTCACGGTTTGCCCGAGGGCGGCGGAAGAGGTGTTGGACGTGATGGCTGGGGGTGTGTGGCCACCCGAAAAGGACGTCCTCCCCGAGCTGCGGCGGAACTGGGTGCGAAACGAGCGCGGGACACTGGTTCGATTCGAATTGCCGAGCGCTACCAATTGAATTGAATTGAATTGAATTGAATTGAATTGAATTGAATTGAATTGATTTGATGGTGCTCCCACTATTCGGTATTGCAACGAAACGAATGGCAGATGAATCACGATACTTGCAATAATTGTTGTTTACACACATTGAGGACAGAACTCTCAAATATTCTCCGATTACTTTAATGAAGCAGGCAGTAAAGTTTTTAAAATCCCTAAGATGTACTTTGAATCAAAGCCTTTGGGACTTACATTTTCGCTTGCTGAACCGTAGCGATTAGTGCAACCCAATTTCCCTTTCGTTTGTATTTGAAGATGAGAAGTATTTTCATGAGATTTGCTGTCGAAAACATCGAGTTGCGTCGTGCTACACCGCAATCGTTGTTGTGTTTGTGTGCAAGTTTCACATCTCTCGAACAAACGGCAGCCGTCCTTTTCACGACGATCCCTCTGCTGCCCCGCACCGCTCCAGAAAGGCCTCCACGTGCCCGGTGGTAGTGGCCAGCGTCTTTTTCTTGGTGGCGTTGAGCTGCCCCTTCGAGTGCTTCTGCTTCTGAGGGGCGAGGAGGCTGTGGTCGCCGTTCTCGATCTCGGCGAGCCCGATCCCCGGCCCGAGGCATCCCCTCTTCGCGGCGTGGGAGTTTGTGTGCTCGACGAATTCGCGGACGGCTCCGATGGGAACGACCGGATCCTTGACCCCGCTGACCACGAGGGTGGCGTGGGGCAGCGCCGCACCGGCCGCTGCGGCCGCCAGCGGCAGGTTCAGGGATCCCTCCCGAACGTCCCCCGGAACAAAGACAGTCGTGGCATCGAGGAGGAGCTTGGAGGTCCCGAGTGGCCAGGGACCCGCGTAGTTCCGCTTCGTCGAGGCCGGGCAGTCGTAGTGGGAGGGGTCCTCGGTGGGAGTCACGCCCTCTAGCCCCACGCCCGGAGCCAGCCACGAGAGGACCGACAGGGCGGCCACCAAAAGGGCCGGGGGGACCACCGAGGGATCGACCCCCACCGCGGGGGAGAGGAGGAGGGTCCCGACAAACGAGGCGTGTTGCTCTGCCGCCACCGCCGCTGCTGGTTGTGCCAGTGGTCGATCGGTTCGCGGTTGTTTCGAGCAGGCTGCGCTATCTTCCAGGATCCGCTGGCTGGCATAGGCCGCGAGGGCACCCCCCATGGATGCTCCGGCTAGGACGAATCTCGTCCGGGGAAGTTTGTAGGTTTCCTCCGTTGGTTCTTGCTCTCGTTGCCGCTGCTGTTGCTGCTGCTGCTGCTGCTGCTGCTGCCGCTCTTTCTGCATCCGATCCACCTCCAGCGCGTGCCCGCAAAAGGCCGTGACCTGCCCCACGTACCGCTCCCATTTTCCCGGCCGCAGCAGCCCCCGCGGCACGCCACCCGACAATCCGTGGCCCTCCGGCTCCAAGACGGCCAGCCTCCATTCCTTCGAGGCGCAGATCCTCGCCAGGTGCTGGACCGTCCAGGTCTCCGCCGATTCGCAGACCCCCGGAACGAAGCAGACCATCCTCGGCCAGGAAACGTCGCCAAAGAACTCCGCGTTGAGCGAGACCGCGGTCCCGATACCGCGCTCGCGAAAGACAAAAGGGCTTCGTGCGACGGCTCGGACCAAGCGGGAGTCCCCACCGGGTCGACCACCCCCATCGCTGTCGCAGGCTTCCCCGACGATCTCGGCGTTGCTGTTGCTTCGGTCGTGTTTGCGATTTTGATTGCGATCGAGGTTCTTCGGCCTCTCCTCCACAAAGGCCAAATCGGTATAGAGCAGCAAAGGACCGCCCTGGTCCTCGGCCGGAAACGCGTCCGCCATGAATGATCCAACTCGATTTGCACTCAGTAAGATGGGTGGTCCTTACGGCTCGCCTGCTTCGAAAGCCGTTGTGCTGCCATCTGCCGTACGGAGTTCGAGTTTGAGCTACAAACGTCTAGAGAGGTATCGTATCACCTTCCGAAACCGAACGAACGAAAATCTTTTTCCCTCCATCGCATCATACAGTACTACGAGAAATTCGTACCGTGCGGTGCGGTACGTACTCTTACTGGTACCCTGTACTGCGTGCTGCCGTACCGTATTGTATTCTCCTTTCTCCTTTCCGTTGTAAAGGCACGTACGGTACCGTACGTACGGTACGGGACCATAATTTTGCTAAGATTTCAGATTTCTTGCTGGTCATCAGGAACAGATCAAGTACCAGGTACCTCTCCAGTAGTAAGGACTTATAGAAATATTTTGGGACCAGCAATAAATTAAATAATTTGAAACAATTTTTTTCACTGTGAAAATGAGACTAACATTCTGTGGTTCTCTGTATTGTGACCATCGAAAACCAGGCAGAATTTTGATTCCCAATACAAATTTTGTCGAACGAAACGTCTGGGCTCTAACTTCAGTCCTTCTGAAGTTCGTGCAACCACGAGATATGGGGAGAAGTTCATTCTGACACCGTACAGAAAGGTATGTTTGTCAATCGTGAAGCACGTACGTACCGTACCTCGAGCAAGTCGTTCGGATTCGACAAAATTAGGCAGTACGGATGCCATAATAATATTGTGAGAAGAACAACTGAAAACAAAACTCATTTAATGACCTCACCGGTCATACAGGTCATAATAATACCGAACTGTCTTTTGATCGCAATGGAACGTGCGCCGTAGGAATCTTCTGCATCTTCTACTGCTGGACGTATCTTAAAAGTCACAGTCATACCGTACGTACCGTACCGTAAAGTATTTACGGAGTACTCGTACTTGTATCTCACTGACGGCACCAAATTTTCTTGACACCTCCCGGTACTTGTACTGTCGATCGACACCTGTAGCATGTTCTTGCTTCTTGTTCTCATCTAATCTATAATCTACATCTGCTTCAACGCACTTCCCCAGTAGAAGAGAGCGTAAAAATCTTTTCTTGAAATCTTCGGGACGAAAACTTCTCGTTCTCCTGTTCAAATCCTACCAGCGGGCATGCTCGCTCTGACATTCTCCAATGTCGCGAATTTCTGCGTTAGCGTTGACAAGACGAACGCAAGGAACGACATCATCACCACTTTCGTGTCATAAACTTCAAAAGGTTCACGAAGTGATCACAATCGCACCTTCAACGACAAGCCAAACCAAGAAATCGAAAAAGCATTCAATCATGGCTAAAGATTGGAACTTTCGTCAGATCGCGGCCGAATTCTTGGCCACCACCCTGTTCGTCTGGTGCGGAACCGGTGCCGCCGTGTCTTCGAACAGATGGAGCGAGGCGGGAACAAACGACCCTGCGTAAGTGAAATAAAGCACTGCACCATTGCGATTGGTTTCGCAGCAAAGCGTTGTTCGCACAAAACTGAAGACGCGGGTGGATTCGGTTCGATGTCACGTTCTGCCATTGTCCTTTGTGCATTCTCTGGTCGCATTCGTTTCGTTTTCGACACCCAACTCACTTTGATAAGACCGTTACTCTTCCGTTTGTGCCGCTTTTCTGCATAACGAATCGAATAACAAACACCCCGAAATAGTGCACTCGTAAGTAACGATTCCGACAGAGGATTGATTGCTGATGCTTTCCTGTGTTGTTTTGAATCAACAATGGATGGAGAAACTAATCGACGAGGACCCGACCAAACTGTTCTCCCTTCAAAATCTTACCTATTTCTTTCTCTTGTGCTTCTATTCGGCCGTCCCATACTCGTTGTAGATTACCATTGCCATTGGCTTCGGTTTTGCCATTTCCGTCCTCGCGTACGGCATCGGCCACATTTCCGGAGGCCACATCAACCCCGCCGTGACCTTGGCATTCGTAGCCCTCGGAGAACAGAGCATCGTGAGCGGTCTCCTTTACATGATTGCCCAGTTCGCCGGCGCCTTTATGGGATCGCTCATTCTTTGGGGCTGTACCTTCTCCCTCACCGACATTTGCAAGACCGTCGATTCGATGGTAACCGGTGTGTGCAGGAACTCTGTCAGTCCCGACGGATCCTACGGTCCGCCCTTTGGACTCGGTCTCAACTCCGTCGGCCCACGGGTCAACACGGGTGCCGCCTTTCTCCTAGAAATTGTCGGAACCTACCTCCTGGTCATCACCGTCATGAATTCTGCCGTTCACAAGAAGTCTGGCGCCGGCAACGCCGCTCCCATCGCCATCGGTTGGTCCGTCATGCTCGCCCACATCGTCCTCATTCCCTACACCGGATGCGGAATCAACCCCGCTCGTTCCTTCGGACCCATGATGGTCGATAGCATTGGAGGGCTCGCCGGAAAGGTTTGGGTCCGTGGATGGTGGGTGTACTACACCGCCCCATTCGTCGGGTAAGTTTTTTCGTGCGGCGAAGCAAATGGTCAACACAAAACGAAGCAGGATTCGAAGTCTTTTTCTTGTGCTGTCATTGATGTTTTGCCTTATATCTAATCTGTTGCATATTGGATCTCTTGATAATTCAACCACAGGAGTTTGCTTGCAGCCTTTACCTACAAATTTATTTTCGAGGAACCCGAGGAGAAAGCAGAAGAGCCCGAAACCAAGAAGGACGAAGAAAACGTCGATGCCTAAGGGAATCACTGTTTTCGTTGTCTCTTTGGTTACGAAAAGCACAGCAGTATTTTGATTCAATTTATATATGTCGCCAACACATGTAGTCGGGCAGCCTTGGTAATGGAAAGCGAACTGAATGGAAATCATTCGCTAATCCAGTCGAGAGAAATCGTGCGCCCGGCCTTAAGCAACTACTAGATGTCCTGTTTAATTCAATTCAAATTGCAACTATTGCACCATATCGAATATCACAAATCATATTATAGGAAGTTTCTCTCTTTGGTTCTGCCCCGGAAGTTGGCCGTTACTTCGTTTAGGTTGTTACTGGTTTGCTTCCAAAAAGCGGAGGGCGAGGTCGAAATCCATGGTCCCCTCCGGCTCGTTGGCGTTCGCACTCGCATCCTCCAGGCGAAAGGCCTCCCAGTCCTCTAGGAAGTGCTCGAAGGTAAGGTGCTCGCGTTCGGCCTCCGTAAAGACAACCCCGTAGGCATCCCGGAGGGGAAGAACCCTGGAAACACCCATGGCTGCGGCCGTGGTGCGCTGTTCCGATGGCGGTGAAGAAGGAAGACCGGCCTCATCGTGGCCGTCGTGGTTGGAAGAACCCCCCACCACCACCCCAAAGGCGCGACCCAGCTCCGAGATTCGCTCCTCTGTCAAAAGGGGCTGTTCGTCTCGGAACCATCGATCGTTGACCTCTTGCACGTGTCCCACCACGGCATCAAAATCCAGCTCCAAAGGCTCCCCCCGTTCGCGGCGAGCAATCAAAACATTCAGTGGCTTTCGTGCCTGCCTCTCGGCAGACGCCGCCGTTCCGAAGTTGTCGTCGTTGCTGCTGCTGCTGCTGCTGCTGCCATAGCCCCTGGCATTCGTTGCTACGCATTCGACCTGTCGCTCCATTGTGGTATGCGTCACGGTCCAGTTCGCCCCGGGCAAATCCCTTACCAGGGGCAGAATGAGGTCGATCTCGTGGAAAGAAACGACCATGTAGACCCCACCATTCCTACCGTTGCTGCTGTCGTCGTTCGCATCGCCGATCGGATCGCAAGTCGGCCGCCGGAGGGTCCGGTAAATTTCCATCAGAAAGGAGGCAGTGGCGGCACAATCGCTGCAGAGTGTGCAGTCCAGCGTGCTCTTGTCCACGACCAGGTCGAAGGAATCGGCGCAGCCCTCCGGGAGGCGTTCGGTGGTGTAGTCGAGGCACCGGAATTCCATGGCAGATGCGAGCTGGGGATTCTCTTCCTGTTTCGCTGCGCGCTGCATTTCGTTCCACCGTGCTTCCATCCCTCCAAGTGTTTCCCCGTCCTTGTCCACGTTGAGAACATGCCCGAACCGGAGGGCCTGCACGAGGTACTCTCCTACGGTGCTGCTTCCACACCCGATGTGCAGGGCCCTGGGGGCGTGGGCACCGTTCCCGCTGGGAAGAAGTACCTGCGTCCGCACAAGGCCGCCGATGGACTCGGGGCTGGTCAGCCATTCAAAGGGCTGTATGGGCGTGCTACTATCGGAAACATGATTGGAAGCGTTGCCTCCCGTGTTGTCCGTCGTCCTCGTGGTAATCATGCCTTCATTGTGCGTATCGTTTGGAACCAATCTCGTGTTCTGCCGTACTCGTATGCGACGTTCTACAGAAGTCGTAAACTGGTGTAGTTCTATTTTCTCAATGGAATCGATAGAACTCATGGATGGATTTTTTGGTTGGTTGACGACCACGGTTGATCTGGTCTTAAAAATAGATTTTCTAACGCTTCCTACCGTACAAGTTGTCCGACTCAATTCTTGGTTCAGGAGTCAAGTGGTAGTCGAATACGGTATGAAATAAGTGATTGAAGGGTACAAACATTTCTCCCCCTTTTCTTTTGGCGCGGTTTACTCGTTCCGACCGGCAAAATTCGTGCCGTGCGAACCAATCATCAAAATCATCAAAACACCAAGAAGTACGGTAAGAGAATAAGTACCAAGTACAGTACAGTAATAAGATTATGATACGGAACGATGTGGTATTTTTCCTTTTCAAAATCAGTCGCAAGTTTCGTTTTCTTCGGTACTCGTACGAGTACCGGTACGCCTACCATCAACCATGCTCTCATACGGACCGAGCTCTTTGGTCTCGGCCTCGTTGTGGTTTTCTGGCTTCACCGACCGAATTTCTAGATCGCTGTGTTGTACCTCGCAGCCAGCACAACGAAACAGAACACCGTATTTGGTTTTGTTGCGGTATTGATCTCCGGAAGCAAGCCATCGCATCGGGCCGTGCATTCGAGACACAACCCCAAACGCAACCGCGACCACAAGCGCAACGCCTCCTCTGCCGCGGCAAACATCCAAATCGGACGCACCGGAAGCATGATGGCCTCTTGGACAGCGACCGGGGCCGCGAGGCATACCCGGAAGCTCGCGCCACGGCTCCTTCTGTGCAGAACGGGTGCCCCGTTTCGTTGCAAAAGTGCTCCGGGGAGCTTCGGCGAACGCGGTTTCGGAACCACACAGAGGCATTCCCCTCTGGCGTTGGCGAGCGGATTCCTGCCCCGGCAGCAGCATCGGCAGCAGCAACAACCACTGCAACTACGCGTCGCCGAAGCGAGGCGCCGTGCCTTTTCGGACCGCGGCCGGAAGACGGGGGAAGAGCACCACGCGCTCTTCCGGGAGCAACTGGCGGACCTCCACCGGGAACAGCAGGGCTTTGGGTTGCCCGCGACCGACACCGCGGACCAGCGAGCGGGCGGCCCCGTGTCGCCGCCTCCGCTTTCGAGCGGCGACCTGGAAGGCCAGCTGGAGGACTGGAACACCGAGCAGGTCGAGGTCTTTGGAGAGCCCCTCTCCGATCGCACCGACGGAAAGGGGGGCGAAGAAGCCGCTCTGGTTCCGGGCGATTGCGACCGGGAGGCCCGCTACGGCTTTACGGCCGAGGAGCGGGCCTCCTGGGGGCGGCCGGCCCCCGATCCGGCCGAGATGCGGGCGGTCCTGGAGGGGGTGGCCCACGCGCGGAGGGCCGAGGTCAACCCCTCGCTGCAGCCCCAGGCGGCAGCGAGCGAAGGCGGCGCGGGCCGCAGCAGCGGCATCCCTCCCCCCGGATGCCACGACGATCGCCACGAGGATCACCACGGGTCCTTTACGCACCTGAGCGGGGACGGGACGAGCATCCACATGGTCGACGTCGGTGCCAAGGCCGTCACGACCCGGACCGCCCGGGCCCGGAGCGAGGTCTGGCTCCCCCCGTCCGTGGTGGAGGCCCTCGGCGTCGGGAACGCGAGCGACAGCGAGCTGGTGGGCCCCAAGGGTCCCATTTTTGCCACGGCCCGGATCGCGGGGATCATGGCCGCCAAGAAGACGAGCGACCTCGTCCCCCTCTGCCACCCCCTCCCGCTCGACCAGGTCGAGCTGGACATTGGCCTGTCGGGGGGGCATGCAGGGGCTTCCGGCCTCCCCCCCGGCGGAAGGGTGGTCCGGATCGATTGCACCTGCCGGGTGACCCACAAGACGGGGGTCGAGATGGAGGCCCTGGTGGGGGCGACGACCGCGGCGCTGACCATCTACGACATGACCAAGGCCGTGAGCCACTCGATCCGGATCCTCGACACGCGGTTGGTCGGGAAGACGGGGGGGAAGCGGACCGTTCTGGACGGACGCGAAGAAGGAAACGAAGGCGATTGAAACCAGCACCGAATTCAATCGAATCGAATCGAATCGAATTCAATCGAATGGAATCCGATCTATTCTAGGACCGCACCGTACCGTAGCAATAAGCAATCCTAGTGTCGCAGAGCATGGTGCAAAAGGCCCCAAGAAACACTGTTGGCTCGGCTCGGGCGAGTCTGGATTCCACAACCTTCTTGTTAGGAAGTGTGCTACTGTATGCGAGACAGGGACAAGAACCACACCACAATGACGGGTAGCTAGTAAAAGAACCTCGCTCTTTATTGTATTGCAAACACGTATTCCTACGACACTAGAGAGTCCGACAGTATTTCACACTGTATACCGTGTGGCGTTGGTGTCCGCCGGCGCCTTTCGAAGGGTTCGCACACCACCGGCACCGTCCCGCTCTGTGGGGCCGGGCTCGACAGGCGATGGATCGGAACGACACCCCGATTCGATGCGATTCGATTCGATGCGATGCGATTCGATGCGATTCGATGCGATTCGATGCGATTCGATTCGATTCGATTCGATGCGATCCCACCGCACCGCACCGCACCGCACGGGGACACCGGTTCGGCACTGCCTAGCTTGGTCCCGTGCCTGAGTTGGTGGTCCTCTCGTTCGCCGTTGCTTCCGTGCCTGGTGGCTTTGTTTTGTGTTTTGCATCGCCTGGCATGGCATGGCATCGGAGTTCCTCAGCCGAGCACCTCGGAAAGGTCTCCCAGGGCGTCGTAGCTGCACAGGAACTCCTCCCCCTCCGAGATGTCCCGGAGTGCCACAAAGGGCGCCGACTTGACCGCGTCCCTCGGTCCGAACCCGGTGCCCTCCCCGAAGAGTGCTGCCGCGTGGGCGAGCCGAACGGGCTCTGCGGGGGGTCTTTCGTACTCGTACTCGTCGTCGTCGGCATCGTCGTCTTCGTCTTCGTTGCCATTGTCTTCGTTGTCCTCGTGTCCCCCCCCTTCCGGAACAACCCATCCCAGGTTGGGGGCGCCGGCGTCGGCACTGCCGTTGGAGGAAGCGTTCCCGCCGCCGTTGCAAAAGCTCCCCGGATCGAGGTCCGTCACGATGGAGTCCCGGCCCCCCGGAAAGGCCTGGACGTAGCTCCACATGAGGACGTCGCAGGCCAGGTCGGGCCGGAGGATCCTCAGGATTTCCACAAAGTCCTCCCCCTTGAAGAACTGCGCCGACCGGGAAAAGTCGTAGACGAGGCTCCCCGCCGGGACAAAGGAGGCCGCAAAGACCCCCCTCCCCCTTCCCTCGGACAGGCGGACCTCGTAGGGGACCCGAAAGGCGGTGTCTGTTGGATCCAGGGGCGCAGTGTCAGTGTCAGTTGCAGTGTCAGTCGCAGTGTCAGTGTCGGTTGCAGACAAAGACAAAGAGGCCACTTCCGGTTCGAGGGTCGACAGGGCCTCCCCGACGACAGAGGCGTAGGCCTCCCGCATCCCGGCCCAGGTGGAAGGGGGATGGATCGCAAGGGAGGTAATTGCTCCCGCTTTTGTTTTTGCTTCGGCGCCGCACCCCAGGGCCTCCCTCCGCTCGTCGTGGGTCATGGAATGCCAGGCCTCCCTCTCCGGCAGGTTCCAGAACGGCCGGAGGACGCTCCCCCTCGAGAGGGCAAGGCACCCGGAAGCAACCAGCGCCAGTGCCGCCAGGCAAACGGCCGCCGAGGAAAAGGAAAGGGACCACCACCTTTTCTCGGCCGGGGAGGGCGTCCGGGGGAGGGAACAGGAGCCGGGGTTGGCTTTGGCTTTGGCTTTGGCTTTGTGGTTGCTCCGGCCCGCTCTTTTGGTGTTGACGGCTACCATGGTGGCCGTCGTGTCGTGTCGTGTCGTGTCGTATCGAATCGTATCGTATCGTATCGTATCGTATCGTCGCAGGGTTCTTGGTGCCCGTCGTCGGCCTTGTGTCCCGTGTTGCCCTTGGTTGCGTTGGTGTTGGCCTCGCGGTACGGCTCTTGCTGTAACAGCAAGGGTTGTATCTATCGGCCGGCAATCGTCTGCGGCCCAAGGAATCGTTCGGCGTATTAGTAATTACTACTACTTGTAGTACGGTACTACGAGTGACCCCTGACTACGAGTACGTACGTACCCGTACTGCAGTCGCGAGCACGAAGAACAACGGCATTCCTGTGCTTCCTACAGTACTACGTACGGCACCGTACGTACATACTACTTCGTACAACGATTTAGCAGTCGTGCGTTTCTTCCCATGCCATGCCAACAAACATGACCCGCGCTGCCGACTGCCGACAACCAATGCTCGAAGTTTGAAACTTGAAACCCATCGTCAAATCACACCATCAGGTACCTTACGTACGAACAAGCACGAGTACGAGTGCTTCTACCGCTCTGTACTTGTAAAACGTACGGTACGGTACGCTCACAAGAGTAACAACTTACAGTAGAGTACCCATACTCGTAGGTACGAAACGTACGGTATGAGTAGGCGCGCGGACCGTGTGGCCTTTCGTATTGGGAAACGCTGCTAACATTCGGAATGTTAAATTAAAGTGCCCAATGCCTCAATTAACGTGGTTTCATTGTTGTTCTACGCGTACTAGTATTGATTTAGGAACGATGGAGGGCTACTATAGAAGAAGAACCCAGAAGAATAATACTCCTACAATGTTCATAAAGGTCCTACCAGAGGCTGAAGAGAATGCTTTGGTAAATGGGTGGTTCCCATACTGTATTATAGAACGTTAAATGAATATCCCGAATTGCATACTAGTACTATCCCTTTTCGAGGAGAAATATTGTTTAACCTTTGTGTGGGACTAATGATCGCAAATCGATTACTTCCTCCGTCCGTACAAGCACTTGCTACTGAAATAAACTCAATACTTAGGAGTCTTAATTCCTTCTTTTTGCACTTAACAGATCTATTACAGGGGTATACAGTCGAAGTGTCTCAAGTACTTGCGATAGTTGTTTAAAGAGACCCAATATTAGTAGCGTATGATTGTCCTCATTCTACCGGTTGACATTTTGCACTTAACAGATCTATTACAGGGATATACAGTCAAAGTGTCATAAACACCTATCAGGGTGACTATATGGGATCCAGAGGACTGGGATTTCATTCTGTTGTCAGGATGGACTACTTTCCGAACAACGATGAAAGTGATGGCACCAGCACTGCAAGCACCATGGATTGCTCTGGTGTGGTGGAGATGCTTCCGCTGGATCCGACAGAGGATGGAGTCTTCAAGGCCAATAAATCCGGTTGCATGGCTTCTTCAACGCATACAATTGAACTTAAAGTAGAAGATTATTCGTCTTTTGATGAAATTGCTTCTGCTTGTGCAAAGGAATGTGACAAGGTGATACCTGTTGGCGACGGGCGTACGGGACTAGTGTGGTTGGATAACAATGAGTTCTTTAGCTTGAAATGTCTATTGGTAACCGAAGGTACTGTTACATGCGATTGCCCAGGATATGGTGGGATCTTTCCTTTCAGTCCCGATGATTGTCCTGTATCGAATGACAAATGCAGCGAAGTTGAATACGTTGATGGAATTTCTCTTGGAATTTCTGATACAGTTGCTCCTGTCTACCGCATCCCAGGATATTATGAGCAACTCGGCTGCTTTAAGAACCATACAGACTATCTTCTTATCAATTCCGCAGACCAAAATAACTTTCTCAGACATCCAAAGGCGCAGGAAGAAATCACGGTGTATATGAAGGAAGGCGACAAAGGCCCTTCCTTAATTCAACAGTGCAGACGGCAATGTTGGGATCTGGAGAGGGCGGTGATTTTTGGCCTAACGTGCCTGGATAATTTGAATGGTAATCTGTACGCGACTTGCGTAGGCCTCCCCTCATTTGACCCCGTTGATACAACCGATAATTCCCTAAGAGTTGGGGATGGAAATCAAGATTGCGCTGCATTCAGTGGCGGTGAGAATTCCTGGTCTTATGATATCAATGGCCGTTCCAATCCCAATGCTTGTGATGGGGATAGTACTCAAGATGGTTTTTCTTTGGGTGGAAGAAATATAATGGCCGCTTACAAGAAGTATCTAGGAATGCAGAAGCCGATAATCGAGGAACGACGCCAACTTCAAGAGAGCAAACCTGAGTCCGAGAGGATGAATTTTGCAACCAGCATCAAAATCCACCCGGATGATGCCAAACTTAATTTCGATGATCTTATTGCCCCTGCTGCAAACTGGGAGGCATGGACAAGAACTACTGAGGAGCTCGTTGCTGGATTTGCCACCGCAGCGGTGGCTATGGCTGCAATTTAAACAAACAACAATCCATCTCGTACCTTTTTTTCTCAATTTTAGGAGGCTATTGAGTTTTCCCGGGTTCTTGATGGATCATTCACACTGCATTTACAAATACATATTTACTAGTACATAATTATTTACATAATTACACATGGAATCAATTATTTCATTTTGTTATTACTGTATTCTTGTCACCGCACAGCTGCTGATCCTTATCTGTTTTCCGTACGTTTGGTACGTACGGTACCGTAGATTGATTAGTGTGAGGAGAAGTTCTTATTTTCGGAGACGTTTGATTGAATCCGTACACACTCGTACTCGTACTCGTATCGGTATTCTTCCTCCTGCATTCAATTGCTGTCAGAGTGTGTTTGCGGCTGGGGTTGGGCAATGTCACAGCTACGAGGAACATCCTAGCGAAGAAAACCCGAGCAAACAACCCAAACCCCATTCCATGGTCGATGACGGTGCATTCGTGTCCAAGCAGCCACCAGAAGCATTGTCGTCCACGCCGCGTTCGGCGCCGGCGCGATTCTTCCGCGTCCGCCCTGCGGCTGGCTCGGACGATTTCCGGGCTGAATCGATGCATCGGTCTGTTCGTTGTGGCGGTGCTCATCCTCTGGATGTGGATGATCCTTCGCCTATCGGGATCGGTTCCGGCAAACGGAAACGAAAGCGGGGAGGGAATCGATTCCGGGGAAGGCAGCAGTAGCAGCAGTATTGAAGCCAGAAACAGAACCCACCCGGGCGTCGCATGCTCCCGTCCCGTTTCCATACGGGAGGACCTGACGGAGGAGCAGCGCAACCCCGCAGTAGGAGAGCGCTGGATGGTGGATCCACCGACCGGTGGAAACCTCCACCTGGTGTGCTGCGACACCACCAAGGGAAGCTTCCGGATCCTCCTGCACGAACGCTGGGCCCCCACTGGTGTTTCCCACCTGCTGGAAATGCTCGGGGGTGGCTACTTCGACACCGAGATCCCCCTCTTTCGCTGCACCGACGCCTGCCAGTTCGGCCTGTCGGCCAACCAGACCCTCACAAAGGCCTTCGGGGGGACCGTAGCCGACGATCCGCTCTGGCTGCCGACCGGGCCAGAGCACCGGTATTTTAGAGCGCCGGGAGGCAGCGGGGAGATCGAGCGGTACCCCAAGGGGGTCCTCACCTATGCCGGGGGGGGCAGGAACAGCCGGGGGAACCAGTTCGTCCTGACCCTCCAACCAAACAAGTACATGGGCGGTGGATCGCCGTGGGAGGTGCCCCTGGGCGAGGTAGTCGAAATCGAATCGGAACGGAAAAACGCGGGCGGCGAAAGCAGCGACGTTTCGCTCCCGGACCTCTATACGGGATACGGCGAGCGGGGCCCCGGGCAGGGGCTACTGCACCGGGAGGGTGCCTCGGCGTCGGTCCGGGAGCGATGGCCACTCATGGATTACGTCCTCCGGTGCTCGGTAGTCGACCAATGGATCTCGGACGGCGGCGGTGGTAAGGGATAAAACCATCGAAACCGATGGCTTGCAGTTTGCGGCGGAGCGAACGGAGCCACTCCGCCGGCACGCCGGTGGCGCTCGCCCGCGCAACCGGTGCGCTAGAAAGCGATTCCGCGTCCCTCTGGAACACACAACCTACCACCGCACGAAATCAAAAACTCGGCGGATAGAATGTTGTTCTATATGGCAACACGCACAAATTGGATTTTTTCTTCTTTATTAATTAGTGTACAATACAAAATACTTCCGTGTGGCATATAGTTTCGTCGCCGTAGTCCCAGTGCAACCTCTTGCATCCTACAAGTACCATAACCAGCCATTCAAAAAATTAGCAAGTAGGCACCTCCGATCAGCGACGAACACTTTTTGCTAGTCAATACAATTAAAAAGACTTCACGTATTGTTGTGCCGTCTTCGACCGTGTCGTTATCGCTCCATCGTGGCCACTTCCTCACACGGCGATAGCGTCCTCTGCCGCTGCCAGGGCCGCCGCCGTTTCGTCTCCCGCCTTGCCGTTGCCAGTTTCGGTGGTCGCACGAGACGTCGGTGCTACGGCTCCAATTTCGTCTCACGAAGCGCTCTCGCTGGAGGCGGTGGTCGAACCAGACGTCGGTACCATGGTGGCATTCCCGTCTACCGCCCCGATGGTGCCGCCGCCACCGCTCGAACCAAGAGTGACATCGTTCGTAGCGTCTGCCGTTGGATGCTGCGACGGGTACTCCGAACCCGTGGGAGCCACCGTGGGGGCCTCCGTCAGCGTCTCCAGCGTCACATAGAGCTTTGGTGCGTTGTCGGTGTCCTGTCGGCTGTAGAATTCCGCGCTGGCGTCCACGCCCGGCTCGATGTGGGCCACCATGAACAGCATGTTCTTGTAGTTTCCACCGACCCGCGGCGTCGCTGACTGCGAGAAGGCTTCCGTCTCGTTGGTAGATTCCATATTCTTGTTCCTGTTAGGGCGAAGGAGCCGGTGGCGAACTCCGAGCGTCTCTACCAGGTCTTCATCGTCGGGATCTGGCGATGTAAAATCATCGCTCGGGTCAACCTCCGCAAAGGGCGGATAGTTGTCCACAAACATCGAGACGTCGATGCAAACTTCCCCCGTATCAGGGCTCACAAAGGTCTTATTGACCTCTCCGCCAAAACAGTCCTCCGGCATCTTGTACCCGGTGAGTTCTGCCTGGAATGCTGGATTTGCGAGCCAGTCCTCTTCCAGGATCGGATTCTCGACGCGGCACGCGGAAAAAATCTTTTGGTCATTCGGATTCCCCCACGCATCGTTTTCGCGGGTGTTCGGAACATGCTCTAGGCACAAATAGGCGTTCGCCTTTCTGGAGAGCAACTCGGCATTGCCGTCCTCGTACCACTTGTAGTCTGCCATGTCGAAGTGGAGGAGGGCGTATGACAGGGCATCCAGGGGCAGGCCATCGCCCGCGAGGATTTCATCCTCGTTGACCTGCTGGGTGATCAACGAAGCACCATTGTTTCCCGCGCTGTTGCGGCTTCGCACCAAGAGGGTGGGGGTTGCACTCTCCTTCTCGTACACCTCTCCGTCCGGGAGGATCACAACGTAGGTGTCTCCAGCGGGGGTCAGATCCACTGCGTCGGGAATAATCATTTCTGGATCCCTCGTAGGGCTTTGCGTTGGGCTGTTCGAAGGGCTTTTAGTGGGGCTTGCCGTCGTTGGACTTAGCGTGGGGCTATCAGTGGTGAATATCGTGGTGCTTTGCGTGGGGGATGATGTTTCATTCGCACCGACATTGCCATCCGTCTCGTTCAGAAAGATCGGGTCAAAGTCGTCGAGTGTCACGTTCATTGTGCCTATCGTTGTTGTGTTGCTGCTTGTATCCATAGCAACGGACGGAGCCAGACTGCTGCTAGGGGTCGAAGACGGAGCGAACGTGGAGCTATTGTTATCGAACAAACCATTCGAAGAAGGTGTCATGCTTGGCCGTCTCTTCTTTTTGCTCAGCGCTATTCCCAGACCCACGGCCGTCATCAGCAAGAGTAGACAGACCACTGTTGACAATATGGCAACCATTTTTAGTTTCACCTTTTCGTCCTGTTGCTTCTGTTCGAGAAAGGATTCGTCGTCACTGTCACTGCCTTCGATTTCGATATCGATGTCATCGTCGTCGAAGTTGTTGCTATCATCGCTTCGCTTGTTACTGTTGCTCATGCTGTTGCTTCCGTCGAGGCTACCGTCGTAGTTCATGTGACGGCTGCTAACATACATGCCCCGAGATGATTGAAGATTTTTCGCTGACAAGCTCCGACTTGTCACCTGCCTACTCCACCGATGTCGGCGACTTATCTCGGAATCGGAACTAGATGAGGATGCATCATCCTCCCAATCGTCGCTGTCGCTGTCGTCAACGGACGGCTGAACGCTCGAGGAGTCGAAGAGCACTCGTCGGCTGCACTTTCGAGCCTTAATCGAACGGTACCCCGGTGTCGGCATTGCTCGGCTAGGCTTGCGATTGTAATTTAAGTGTATGCGCCTGTTTTCTTTCTCAATATCCTCGTGAATCGTTTGTGTCGTCTTCTGTATTATTTAGTCTTGCTGTTATTTTCACAATAGTTCTTTTTCGATGCCCTGTAAGCAATCGTTTCAACAAGTGCAGTGTTTCTGTTGTGTATGATGATGATGGGAGTGTTCCAAGTGCAAAACGATGAATGTATTTGTTATGTTGTATCGAGCTATTGATTCGGTGTTGGCACCATTGTTTTCAACTGTTCATGCCTGTGGTCCTGTAGCAGAGTTTTTGGGGGGTTGTGCAGTTCCCGACGAAAATACTTCGCAGCAAGACGAAAAATTCGTTCACAATTTCGGGACATCGCGCTTTGTGTTATGATTATATGCTCGAAATACGAAATAAATACTACCGGTACATGGTCCTTTTTTTCCTTGGATTTCCGTAGCGCACGAATGATTCCCTCAGACACTCTTTCTGCGATCCGTTTGTTTCTTCATCAAAATCCTTCCTCGCAATAAGTGCAGAGAAGAGCGGGAAGAGCGCATACGTCGATCTAAAAATAGAAGGTTCATTATGTCCTTATCAAAATGGACTGTCACAGAATACAGTAATTGGATCCCGGACTTTAAAGATGACTTCAAGGGGCGAGCCCCTCAATTACATCCACGGAAAAGTTTGGCGAGTAGAAACCGTTTAGGTAGTAAACTAACTACGTACTAGTACCAGCTCGGACATCGTGAAAAACGTACCGTACGGGATGAAAGGGGACAAAAACAACTCAATACAGTATATTGTACTGCGGGTACTACTGTACTACGAAGTACTTCTAATACCAGAACCGTACGAAATAGTACAGTACTACAGTACTATTATTAACTGTGTTACGTACGATCACGTACAAATTACAAACATCATCAGGACGATGATACGACTCCTTAGGCTTTGGCGAACGAAAGAGGGCATAGATTGTTTGTCGATAGTGCAACGCCGTGAACTGGTAGAATTTCATGCCATATTCATAAAAGATTGGTTCTCTGAATCACGAACATTTGGTCCCGAGTTGAACGTTTCTTGCCCCGATCTGCATGTTGCTGTACATACAGTACTTACGAGTACCGTTGCGTTCCGAACAAGAGTAGGTACCAGGGCCCTCCGGAACCAACGCGCGCGCGTCCCCCCTTTGAAATCAAATATCGGGGGTATGATTTCGTGGGTTTTTTTTTCCAAACAATAACCCACGTTTCTAAAACGTGGGTTTTTTTTCCCAAACAATAACCCACGTTTCTAAAACGTGGGTTTTTTTTCCCAAACAATAACCCACGTTTCTAAAACGTGGGTATTTATTCCCAAAAAATAACCCAT